GACTAGGAATTGAAACAGCAACCTCTTGGTTCTGGGGTTGACGATCAACTGCTGAGCCACACTGGCCAGGCTTACTTTCAAATACACACCAGAACTTAGGTAGATAGCACTGCCAAACACAGGAATTACAATAAAAAGGTAAAAATCTTTTGTTTTATGTAAGTTATGTGTAAATTGATAGTAACTGACATATTCTTTCATTCTTTATACAGTTCATAGTTTTGTAACTTGCTTTCAATGGTGAATGCACATTCCAGTAGCATGATTTAGAATTTTACTGAACAAAAGTCTTATAATAGTTAACATTGTATAAGGAACTATTTTTGTACAGTGGTTTATTTAACATTGTACATTATCCATCTCACAGTTCTGGTTACATGAATTCTCTCATCAGCTATTAATTCAACACATATTTTTTAATCTACTTTGGAGTGGTCAGGCTTTTTAGTTTTAGGTGTTATGAATAGAGTTGTTACTTATCAATGATTTTCAGGAATAGGAAAGGCATTCCCCCCCTCCCTCCACAACTTCTATCAGCATTTCAGGGTATGGGTTATAGTGGGTAGAGCAAGCAGCCTTCAGATTAGGCCTATACTACTTAATGAGGTATTTAATAGGCTGGGTAGCCATAGATGTTCATTTATACTATTGCATATCCAGGATAGTTATATTGTTTTGAGGTCAATGTTCTTTTGTTGAAAGTATTACAGATACATATCCCCTACCCCTGCCCCTCATGATCCCCCTCCTCCCCTGCACCTGCCCTCTCCACCTTCACCCCACTATTATCTACGTCCATGGGTTATGCATATATGCATATAAGTTCTTAGGTTAATCTCTTCCCACCCCCACCCCCCAAAGTCAATGTTCTTTTAAAGTTTAAAGTTTAATTTTGTATAAAAAGAGGCTTTTTAACTCTGAAAACTTATTTACATCTTCCTTTTTGTCCATTCCATGAGTTAGAGTTCGTCTTGACTCTTCAAGATAGAATCAGAGGATTGTGAAAGTAAGACCACTTAGATTTGACTAAGGGCACCATTAAATGGTGTCAGGTTTTAGGCGGCAGGTGGGTGTATAAAAAGACAATGAACAAAGAATTTCACCTATGGAGGCTTGGGCATAGCTGGATGCCTGTATTGCCCTGCCACCCAGCTGCCGCCTATAAAGTCATTCATCGCTCTGCAAGAGGGACCAGATGCTTCCATCATCAGTATTCCTTGTTTATGTTTTTTCCTTTGACATAGCTAAAGATGGCAGCCAATTTTTTTGAGGTCTTTATCGAGCATATATTCACGTTATGATGTAGAAGATAGGGTCAACTTCTCCAGTTGAGTTATTTGAGTGTTGGGCAGTGACACCATGCCAAACAGTTAAATTTATGCCATTAAAAACAGTGTTCTACAGAGTACAATCCTCTGCAGCTTTAAGATTGGACTGTATTGGAATATTAACAGGAATCTTCAAAGGCCATGAAAGCTTAATGTTAAATAGCCCTTTTAATTGCAAAGGAGAAAAAAATGGAGAAACTTGTGAAACCTTACATTCCAAGTGCTGTCACAACTTTAAGAGGAAATTGAGGAATCCCAGAATCTCTTCATTTACTTCTGCAGTTTTAACAAGGAATTGATGACTGAGCATATCACTCTTCAGGTTTTAAAAAACATCAGCTCATCTTTCTTTGCTATTAGTTGAGATGAATCTACTGACAAAGGAAATTGTGCTTTGCCTATTTTCACAATTAGGCTTTAAAAACCATGGATGTGCTGTTTTCATAAGCCTCTTACTTGACCACTAAAGACAGTATTTTTTTTGAAACTGTTATCACATAAGCTGAGTTTGGTGAAAAATTATAGTATTCATTGATGGTGCTACAGCAATGGCATGTTTTGGATCGGTTTTGTTTTGGGGGGCAAAAATTGAAGAAAATTGGCATTCAAGATGTCCTGCAATAGTCAATACCAACCATAAACTTCCATCGATCTGCCCACAATCTACTGGAAATCTTCAGCCTTGCTGTCAGCATCATTATTTGAAAAACATTACATTTGATCCCAGTTTGCCTTGGGTTTTGAAGATCTAAATGCTGTTCAGAGTGTTTTCTGTTATATACTGAGGTTCCTTGGTTGTTAAAGAACTGAATTTAGCTGAATTTATGGTCAGAACAACAGAATTTGGGAACACCAATAACAGAACAATCCTGATTTTAAAACACCAACAAAAAAGAACCTGTACTTTAAAATTAAAACTTTCAGAATGTAACACATTGAAGTTTAACATTGACC